GGGGGGGGGGTTCTCCACATTCCTGTGATCACCGCAGACCTTTGACATCAAACGAGCCCCTCAGACCACCTTGAGATGCCATCCATATTTGGGTTATTTTGCATTATTATTCCAATCCGATGTGTATAATGTCGTTGTTGTAAAGTAACAGATGTACAAATAATAATGATCATGGCATTCATTTTAAATGTGCTCATAACAAAAAACGTCATTTTGCCAGCCTAAAACTTTCACGTGTCCATTCTTCAAACGTGAAGTTTGGCCACCGAAGCAAACATTCTGACACCAATTTTAATCGTAAAGTTCATAAAAACTCACCTCGTCTGTGCCATCCATCGCGGTGACGTCCCGTGTCCATGATGTCACGATCTTAAATGACGTACGGGGGAACATTTTAGAGAAACGTGCTTGGGTCCGTTTTCGACCGTCTCGGCAAATAACAGCCACGAGTGTCACAAAAGCATGATTAGTTTTCTACTGCTGAAAGTTGGGTAAATACCCAAAATCTCGTATTTACACTGGTGGAGCCATACGGCGGCGTGCATTAACCTCTTCCGGATTGCCGACCTCCGGGCTTCCGTTGTAAACAATGAGTGACGTCAATGCTGTTAAGTCAGCAAGATTAACAGCAGATAACACCGAACTTCTGTGTTTCTCTTATTTTGAAACCCAATCACACCACATCCGGTGCAGTAACTATCCAACTGACGCAGCAAACTTGACAGCAACTTCAATCGTCGGAGACTTTCCCATCATGCTTAGTTGCCGTTGTAAGACTTTTCAACGTGTTATTTTTTGGACATAAAAGTTGCAATGTAGTTACAATTTCATTGTTTCTTGTTGCGTCTTATTTTTTTGCTTGTTTTGGTCTCAAAATGTCGAAGCTTTCCTGAGCATCTGTACTTCTTCTGCCCTCTACTGGCCACCTTTATGAATGGTCGTGATCACGTGGTTGGCATTCCATTTTCGATTGTTTTTCGTTCTCAAGGCAGGGTCCCACGTCACTTGTCTGGTTCTGCTGCATTTCTTCTCAGAGATGAATTCATCACTGCCAAAATTATTTGTTCTTATACGAGACTACTTTCTGTAATTGATTCTTCGTCTCAAGGTGGAGCAAACCTGCGGCCAAAAAGCTGTTAAAACTCGGTCATTAGAACAAATAAAAACAGGATTTGGTTTCATCATTTCAGAAATAATGTTGATCAGATATACTTCCGGTCTTTACTCAGCGTAAACTCCAACATGCACAAAATACCGAGTACGGTCGCGCAAACGTTCGTGTTCATCATTTTAAATTCAGTTGATCGATGATTTGATTTCAAACTAAGCGAGAAAATGAAAGTAAATGCGCAATTGTTGGTGTGTCGAGCTGGCGGTGCAAAAGTTGACTACACCTCCGCCCACCGTGGTATTCATAACAGGAAACCACCAGCCCAATACTGTACGCGGAAGTGAGCGGACGCTCCCATTTTAGGTTGTTCGAGTTTATTCAACTTGTAATGACCTACTTGACGTGTTATCATCCAAAGTCGTACTGAAGTCGATTTTCAGGAAATATATACTTTTTTCCTGCCGACTTTTTAAACCATTACTCCTTCATATTGTTAAAGTATTATTTCTCTCTGTTAGTTAGATTTGATTGTTCAAGTATTATTCCTGTTAGTTAGATTTGATAAGATATTATTCCTGTTAGTTGTGTTTGTTCAGACACTTGAAAGAAACAATACAGAATGCTGTTGAAGATATTTCCTGCTTACTTGGGGTGTCTGGAACTTGCCATCATGCCAAGATCAAACTGCATTGGCCTTTCTTTGTTTCTTACTTTCACATAAGGGGCAGGACTGCCCGCCTCTCGTTGTCATATTGTCTCTTATCTAATCTTATGACTGTATTTTATCGATGCTTTTCTGACGAGATCTGAAACTCTCAGGAGCCCGAATCGATTCGTAAACTGCAGAAAAGAAAAATAAACTCTTCAAAAGGTACTGTACATCGACTCCAGCCTGTATTTGGATAACCAACATCCTCATCATACGAAATTAACGAACACGCGGAGGAAGAGAAAGCTCTTTCCCCAACAATATGAAAACAGATGGCCGTACTTTCTACTCCTTCGTCAAATACAAATTACATTAGTTACTCACGATAACATAAAGTGTTGGCGAGTAACTAAATCAAATCGTTACTCTACTGAAGTACAGCACAATTGTCAAGGACACCATTGTGCTAAAGCAAGTGATACAAAGTCACTAAAAACTCTTTCTAATGACCTTTTAGCTTTACATTTAAAAACAAAAAGCTTTATGTTATTTTATTTTCTACTCCGACAGAGATCAAATGTTTTTTTTTTCAACTTCGGCGGACGACTTCACGACCAGAAAAAGATGCAGATTCGAATGTCGTCTTTGTTGACACTTTAATTACTAATACTGTGAAAAAAAAGGTGCATACAGCTCAAAAGTGAATCATACTTTATTCACCCAAAGGAGACAAATTCAAAACATCAAATGAAATATCTCTTACCAAATTTTTATTACACGATTGTTAACACCAGCTTGTTCAAAAAATATATTGGTCATGATACTTGATCATCAGTTACAAACCACACTTAAAAACAAACAACCCCCCTCCCCCCAAAACAAAGTACAAACCTCATCATTCCTGAAAATGAATTGCAGCACAGTGAACAGAACACTCAACCTGAATTATTGTCACTATTTCCTTGGGAGCGATATGGCCCATAAATGACTGATTGTGAGTTTAGGGATCGGATTGGGGTAATGACTGAGTTGATGAAGAATTTGATTGAAAATATCCGCGAGTTGAAACCAATGCCTGTAGCAGAAGAGCAATGCAGAAGATACGTCATCGTGGCCAATCAAGGATTTTGGCTGCATTGTGACGCAGTGACTGGCCCCTGCTCACATGTTGGGATCTGTAAGAAAAAAAAAAACATGTACCAGAGTGACAAGTGAATTACCTTTAGCGATTAAAATTAAAATAAATAACAAAAAAAAAAAAAAAGAATACAATTCCCCAGCTGTCTTTGGGCAAAGTTTGACTTTGGAGGTTCCACTCACCCCAGTCAATAGACTTGGAAGGATCCGACGAATGAGTAACCCGGCAGATGTATTTGTCATCCCTCGCTGGTGTGAAGGGAGCATACTTGGTCAGATGGAAGTGCCAGTTTTTTCCGAAGCTCAAGTCGGTCTCGATGGCACCGGGTATCTCCACTCCGTTCTTGAGCAACTGGATGGTGACGTCAGGGGGGTGGAACTGACTGACGTGGCAGATCAGCGTGTTCGGCGCTCCGAACCTTCCCGGCTGGTGGCTGTATACTTGGACCATTGGGGATTCTAGAACAGAGACAATCAAAATCACTTCAGGATCAGAATTAACCAAACTGGTAAAATGGGAGTCAGCACACATCAACCAAAAGCCTCTCTGGTTCACTTCAAATCAAGTTCAGATGTTCGAGGAGGCTTTTCCTGACATGTTTTTTGCTTTCAAGAAGCCTGAAGGTTTTGTGCAAGCACTGAATGCTACTCTGAGTTGTTCGTAATTCTCTCCATCGTGGCTAAGGCCTTGGCAGCACGATGCAGCCTGCACTTCGCTTCACAAAAACTTTGAACAGGGTATGTTATACAGTGTGTATATTTTTAAGAGGTACCGTAAACTGTAACTGCTTTACAGAGGTAACAAAAGTACTCACTGGTTATTTAAATTGTTTTTTGCTCTTCAGTTGTCTTTTTTTTAATGAGCCTTTTTTGACTAAGTAGAAAGTAAGTACAGATGTATTTTTAAGTATAAAGCATACAAGTAAAACGTTTACAGAAAAATACATTCAAGTGTGGAAAAAAATGACTGAATAATTTTTTGGGATACTGTATTCGCGCTGCTAAAATGCGGAAGGGGTGCAGCCACTTCACTGCCGAGTTTCCGAGAAATCGAAACTTAACCCGAATCGCGCTTGATGTTTTTGGGTGATATTCATTTCTGTGCAATATTACTTTTACACAACTCGGAGCATTTGGTTTTGGCGTTCCCGATTAAAAAACAAAAACAAAAACAAAACAACAACACCACTTGAAATGACGTTGAATCTTATACTTACGGAACTTGGAGTCCACCTTCCAGTATACAGCAGCCAAAACAGCATAAATCACCATGTACTTCATTTTTGAGAACACCAAGGACGGAAATTCGCCGACGATTAAACGCTGACAAATGCCAGGCAGGCCCTCGAAAAGAAAAGTTAAGCTAAACCGAAAGTAAAACGCGCAGTGCGCAGATATTAATTCCAAACTGAGCCCGCCCACTCGGTTTCCTGCCAATCATTATATTCGTTTACTTTAACCGTTTCGTGCGCACTGTAACCTGATAACGTGATACGATGTCCACTGTCGTAACCGCTGTCCCTGAAAGGCTTAATGTTGAGAGGTTAGCAAGTTTGACTTCACGGCGGGCATTTCCGGCATGAGTGCCTTTTTTATATACACATACACTGTAATATTTTTGAGCTATCACTCACGTTTTACAATAACCAGTATTTTAAAGCACTAAAACTAGCATTTTATACTTGTGGGAAAATAAATACGGCTCCGGTTGGGAAACTTCTCGTGCGCAGTTCTGAAACACTGTGCAGTGACGCTTTTATATGACGTCACAACAAAATGTCAGTTTGTGTGTTATTTCCATCTACGTACGTAGGTCAATTTTATCCGCGCTCATTTCAAGCAAAGGGTGTTAATTCTAGGTAAATGTGTATATTTAACTCCTTATATTTAACTATCGAACCTAAGACAACGCCGTTGCTTCATTTTTTGTGTGTGACGAAATTCATACACATACGCAAAACAATGCACGTCATCAGGTGTTTGGTCATCTTTTAAACATATACAGATTTTTAAAATAGATGTAGGCGTTATAGTTCAAGAAACGTGTGCATTTTAGGTTTTTCCGAAGAAAACAAATCTGGTTGTGTCCTTTTCTTGACTCCGTTTTGGAAATGGAATCATTTTATGGACAGCATTGACCCCCATTGGTCACATATTGAAACGAATTTTCGATCATTTTTAAATTATGGCAGTTTTCAAATATATATTTTAAGTAACCGTCATATTGTCAAAACTATTGGATTGTATGTTTATGTGGAGCTATTTGGGACGCCCCCCAAAATTAAATCTAAAAATACCATACATCATTTGTGCAAAAAAAAAAAAAAAAAAAAACAGCCAAAACAATGACCTTATTATTGAAAGTGTTCTTTATTTTGTTTTACACATCCTGAAAATTGTCTGGCAGCGGATGTAAGGTCAATCCTTAATGGGGGAGGGAAGCTATGACACATTATGTAACAGTTCAAGTGACATTAAATAGTACATCACCATGGCTGATTTAAAAAAATAATAAATAGAGGAGCATTTGGTTTAAGAAATGAGAGATAACTGCTACAAAATACCAAATCTCATGTCAAAACAAAGAAAAAAACAGAACTACATCTATGGCCGGCTTTCTTCACCCCTTTAAACCGGTTTCAACAATTTTCAAACCTAGTACATTCCCCCCACAGCGATGCAGTGCCCATCATAAAAACAAACCGAAAATAAAACAAAAACAAAACAAAAAAACAAAACAAAGCACACATTTAAGGCACGGTCGGGATGTCTGCTGCAAACAGTTTTTGCACCAGGTTTGTGAACATCTGTCAATGTGCGTCATTCATACAACTCTACACTGCAAATACTGAATGCGACTTTCAATTCACTGCATTTACAAACATGAATTAGGTGCATCTTAGTGTTGATAAGAGGCGCTGTTAACAAAAAAAAAAAAAAAAAGCAGATCTCTCGGAATATTACAAATTACAAACTATCAATACATTTAGAGTGCTCCAAAGGTCACGGTGGTATAATTTCATTTCAAAAGGTGGGGTGGGAGATGATGGACGTATTACAAAAACAAACAAACAAAAAAAAAAAAACCTTTAATGAATGAGCGAAAAAGAGCCAGACTTGACAAGAGGTAAACAATAACACAAAAATCATGACATAATATTGGGATTACAACTGAAGAAAGCTTCGGGCAAATGTACAAGACAACACTCCCTGATTCCGTTATGTCAGGAGCACTGCTAGTTAAGATGGATGTCGACACGAAAGAAAAGGAACAAACAGTGGCTGCATCATCTTAATAATTAAAACAAAACCAAAAAATATAGACGCGAGGGGGGCGGGGGCAGAGGCTTGTGGTTTGCTCTTAATGAATTCAATTATTTAATCAAGCGTGTGCCGTCATTCCCATGTATTTACAGCATGTCCTCTTCAAGTCTGCTCATGCCTTCCTCGCGTGTACAACACTGTTCTCCGGAAATAACGAGAGCAAATCAACACCCGCTGTATTTGGGACGCCGGCGTGGAGGCGTTGCGCCGAGGCATGCAAGCAGCCACGATACAGTATGATGCGCGATAGCGGGAAGAGACGCACGATTGTGGAGTCCTCGCGCGCGCGTTCGAAACCAAGCCAGAGGAAATTTGTTTACATCTGCGAGTTTCGATACGAACGTTGTAGAAAACCCAACACTGGAAAAAGCCTCTGGGGAAAATAAGGAAGATAGAAATGTTAAAAAAACAAAACAAAAAAAAAAAGTTAAGTCATCCTTGTTAGAAAGGACCGAAGGAGGGGGGAAAAAAAAGTGTCGATCTTATGAAAAGCCTGAGGAGTTGTGCGAGCTGGCCGGAGCGTTGGCGGCGTTTGCGTGGAGGTTGGAGGCCTTCAGGGGCGAGACGCAGGCCTGGGCCTGCGGGAAACGCTGGTGGTACCGGTCCAAACGCAGGTATTTCACCGTCACCAGCTTACCTGTTGCCGCAAAGAAAACCACACGTGTCACTGAGGTACGACTGCAGTTGGCCGCACATTTTTTTTTTTTTCTCATTGGACGAACGGTATGCCATTGTTTCAAGGGGAAGGCAAGAATTGTTATTTTTCAATTTATTTGAATTAACTCCTGACTAAACGAAGGAAGAAGGAGACAAGCAAGACTTCGAAGGATATTTTAGCCCCTCGTGGATGTGAGCCCGCGAAGTTCGTGTGCCTTTTGTCTTTCATTTATTGTTTTGTAATGCCATTTGTATTGACCTCTTTCATGTCAGTGTTTGTGACCACTTCTCATGGCTTTGTTAGAGCTGCAGCCTTTGTGACGGCTCTATAAATAAAGCTGAATTATATTGTGTTCGCTTTACGCGTGGCTCCATCTAGTGGATGCACAGCGCAACTGCTGCCACTATTGTCTCTTCTAAAGTGCGCCCAGTTTATGAAAACAGTACCACACCCAAATGTAATTTCGGTTGGTTTGTTGCACTTCCTCTATCAGGCTTTGCGATATGGCCCGAAAAGAAAATTGTGATTTCCCCTCCCCAAAAATGTTCTCCCGTTAAACATTCAGAAACATAATGAGTCACCTACCGTCAAACCAAGAGCCATGCAGTGCCTTGAAGGCTTTCCCTGAGTGCTCCGCCGAGAGGCACTTCACGTAGACGCAGCCCTGTTGACAAAGAGCGGGCCAGGGTGGCGATGAAATCACCGAGGGTCGGGAGGCGGCGGGGAGGGAGGGGGTGCGTGTGAATACCTCTCGAGAGTTCTTGTCGACTGTGATGTGGACGATGCCGTTGTTGTCGCTGCACTTCTCCAGGATGGCCTCTTGGATGGCGAGATCCCAGTTCTCCCCGACCTCCCTGAAAACAAATGATTTATGATCGGCGCGTATGAAAGAAACCGAAACGAGCAAGGCACTCACATGACCGGGTCGAACATGTTCCTGATCTTCAGACACGGCGTCAGGCTATTTGGCGGGGAATTCCGCCGGTCCAGAGGGAACGCTGAGAATCGAAAAGAAGTCGGGCTGGAAAAAGGTCGAATCGCGAGGAGGCGCGGCGGCCATTTTGGGGCGGGGGGTGCAGTACCTTTCCCCTGCCAAACTTTGGAAGGAACGGAGGAACTCTTGTCGCAACTGAGCGACGGCTGGATCCACCGCCAGACCAGGAAGTCGGATCCCCCGATTTTCTGGCTCTCCGTTCGAATCCTGGATTCGTTGGCCGACAGAAATTTCACGGCGCGCTCCCAGATTCTCTGCATTTTCTTCCTGCGAGAGCACAAATGCATTTTTAGAAGCCGGCAAACGATTGGGCCGGTTTATTTTTCCACACTTTGAGCAATAATAGTGCCTGTTATTTTCATGTTTATGATTTGGGTTTAAAAATCACCCACGAACAGATGAGGGTGCGGGCGTGTTTGCACTGACCGGTCCTGAGGCTGAACCAGGGAGTCTCTGACGTGGGGGATGGGCAGGCAGGGCTGAAGATCTTGGTTCTCTTGACAGGCGTCATTATGGCTTCTTAGGACGTCTGAGCAACAGGGGAAAAAAACAACAGTTGCGCTCATTATTTTCCCCTCTCTTCGAAGTTTCCGGCACATGACGCGGCCCCTACCGATGATCCTCTCCACCATGTGATACATTTGTCTGGTTTCCTCCTCCTGTCTCTTCCAGCGATACTTGACGTAGCAGACCAGACCCCACACGCCGCCGACCGCTGTGCACAGACATGAGAAGACGTGTTTTCCACGTGCGCCAGGGGGCAAATTCCTCTTCAAGCGTCATGACATCACCACGCGAATGTGGATGGCGACGCCGAAGAAATCAGTGGACGTCCTACCGGCTGCCAGGAGGAAGACTCTGCTGATGACGGTGAGGAACGCCCGGCGGAAGCGGCACGTGAAGGCCATCCTCGGATGCGTGGACTCCAGCCGAGCGACCTCTGACGCGTCAATCATGGGCTCGTCGGCGACCTTCCCGGTCAGCCTGCAAAGCGCACGTGCGACGCCAAGCGCCAATTAAACCGATGTCAGAGAGAAAACGTAAATTACCGTCCGTTACCTTATCCCAACGTCCTGGCCTGTCTGGATGATCAATTCGAGCGACGTGTAGATTAAGTCTTCAAACTTCTCATTCTGAGCCTGGAAATTTGACACGATAATAAGAAGCTCGCCCGCGTGACGACCGCATTTCATGACGGACCTCGAACACATCATTGTGGTTACAATGCAACAGGACATTTATGAATGACTCTACCGTCAAATATGCAGCGGCCTCATCGATGGACAGACTTCTGTTGGGATATTGCTGGTCTCCACAGTCATGTTTACCTGCAAGAAAAAAAAAAAAAAACATTGGGTTTCACACCCACTGGAATCTCAGTATGTGTAGCATTTA